CTTTTATGTAAAGGATGGAACAAAATCACACCTTTAAGATAACCGAGGGAAAGTTTCTTTGTGCAATTATTATTTATTTTTTGTTGATTTCAAATAAGTATTTTATTGATTTGATTCAATTATAATTTTATTAATATACTCACTCTCTATAACATTCCTGATGAAATCGATGATGATGATGAGATAACAATGTCACCTGAACTGGAAATTTTATTGGATGAACATTGGATTTGCATAGTGATAGTGCCTGCAAGAAACCAAATTGATCATTTTTGCAATTGAAGGTATGACAAAGTGTGTGGACCAGCAGAGTCTCTTGAGTCGATACTTTGCATTGAAGTATTCACATATTTCCCTGAATATCTTATCTTGACGATTCGGTAGGAATATCAACATATGTGTGATTGATGACTTGTTTGCTTTATGGTAATTTATGATCACTTGACTGAAATGAATAAAAGTACTTTTGTCTAAATACCACTGGAAAATTTTTATTTATACGACCAGTTTCGAGTTTGATCCCATTATCAAGTATAGAACTTATTATATTTGATACTGGGATCAAACCCCAAACCGCTCGTATGAGAAAAAATTTTTCAGTGATTTTGAGACAAAAGTGCTTTTATTCATTTCATTTAACCCATTGAGTACCCGGGGGTCGTTAACGACCCACTTCAGATTTTTATTGTCAAACCTAACTTCTTTTGCATAAACAAAAGATCAAAACTTATTTCCATATTAGCATTGTTTACCTTTTGCATACCGGGCGCTTGTTTCAGGGTTTTTGTGATTTTCTGGCTTCAGAGAAATTGTTGAAAATAGTATTTTTTTCTTGTGCGTGCAATGACTTCATATCGGAACTGGTAAGTACCTTTTTTAGTATTTCATTGCTTATTTTGGTAAATTAGTACAACTATAAAAGATGTTTCACAAGTAAGGTTATAAGAAATCAAACTTCGATTGCGTGGTGGCCAAACTGCATGTGTTTTTTTAGCCTTGAGCCTTTTTAGAGCAGATAGAGAATTTAGAGGCAGATGATGTGATTCCAGACGGAATTGTGATATTACCACCTAATGATGGTGATGAGAGTGCCGAAGATTCAGGAGACGAAGACTGTAGGGATCCGGACCGTCTTTGTGCAGCACAACTAAATGCTGAAGCAGAGTTCTTTTATGACAATTCCGACCCTCCAGAAGAAAGCAAAGAATCCGCAGTAGTGATTCAGGAGACAATTCAAGCCCTCACTTCTAAAAACTTACCTGTGAATCATAATATTGGAAACTTCATTTTTTCACAAACATTGCCAAAAACTGCAGTAAGTAACTACAATCAATTCACAACCTATTTGAAAACGTTTCAGCGCATTATTAGTTGTATTTCGTAGTTTGAATAATATCAATAGTGCTTTCTCAAGACTCCAAAAAAATGAACATTACTGCATTTATTAGTATCGTTTGTAGGTAAAGTAGGCTAAAAAAAAGTACTTAGAGTTTTTTCAAAGTGTGTTTCAGTGTGACGGAGCTCAAAATCTGCTAGACCACCAGGGAGGAAACTTCCACTAAATAATAACTTTTTGCGATATGCACCTGTTGAAAGCAACATATCCATTGTGAACAATAATGTATATATCCATGTAAACAATACATAAGAGGTAAACCTATCCGTTTTGGATAAAAGGCATGGGTTGCAGCACTAAAGTACGGATACTGTGTACAGTTTCAAGTGTATAAAGGCAAAAATACGAACATGGATATCGACAAAGGTCGATATTTCATTTTGCAGAAATACTGACAAAACATTACGATGATCAAAAATTCTCCCTTTATTTCGACAATTTTTTCACTTCTGCAAAACTTATCACATTGTTGGGTCAAAAAGATATAGGAGCAACAGGTACCACTAGAGAAAACAGAACTGGCAAATGCAAACTGATAGAAACTGCCACAATGAAGAAGCTTGATAGAGGCTCCATGTGTTCTGCACTTGATAACAATAATAATGTGGTTGGTGTTCGCTGAAAAGATAACAATATTGTCACACTCATGTCTAATAAGTATGGGTTAGAACCAGTGGCCAAATGTAAAAGATTTGGCAAAAGAAAGATCTAGAGCCTTACTTTGTAAATAGGTATAATACTTCCATGGGGGGAGTGGATCAGCTGGATAATCACGTCTCAAATTACCGAATTGCATTTAGAGGCAAAAAGTGGTACAATCCGCTAATTTTTTGAATGTTCGATGTATGTGTCAGAAATGCATGGCTTTTAGCGCGTGAATATGGATACAGTGAAGACAATCTTACTTTCCGTCGTACAGTTACACAAGCACTCTTACTGAAATACGGAAAACGAAGCACATGTCCAGGACCGAAGAGGGCAAGCATTCAGTACCCGAAAATTGCAAGCGGACGACACATAATCTTAACTGGACAAAGAAGACTCCGATGTGTGGTATGCAAAAATAAGACCAACAAGTCTTGTGATGCTTGTGAAGTTCCGCTACATGATAAATGCTTTCAAACGTATCATAGTCAATTTCAAATAATATAAAGTTAATAAACCACATTATATCTCAAGTGTACATTTAATGCACTCCTAAGTCCCCAAGGGTTATTAACGACCCACCTCAAAACTCAAAAACCAAAAGTATTTTTCTGAGTCACCTCTGACGTTCCTTGAACTGAAAAAGTTATCAGAATAACCAATTTTGGAAAAAAATTGTTCTGAGCCTTAATGGGTTAAGTGAAATATTAACATAATATTTGTTTCTCACAAACGAATAGAAGTACTTGTTTTCGATATAGACTATGGAGATTGCTGCAAGCCATGCGAATAAAAAATTGTTATCTGTTCCATATTAGGTTAGGTCCAAAGTAAGTGGGTATATTCGTCTCTCGACCGCAACCCGCAAGGGTTTATTGTGGCTCACACCTATTCACAGTCGACCAAATAAACCCAATTTGGGTAAACGAAGCCGATTAGTTTCTATGGTGAGTGGTCTTTCAGGTCAGATGGTAAGAATAGGGCTCTGTCGAACTCTACAAACCTGATTCGGTCCCCAGCAGGGCAGGCACATAGTATGTGCTCTGCTCTGTTGTTTCATCATTTTCCAAACACACTGTCTCTCGTCCGAGTCTCTGCATATCATAATTCAAACGACAGTGACCAGTAGAAAGGCCTGTTAGACATCGTGGTTCATCCCTACTGTAGTCCAACAATTGTTTGGAAGGGTAAATGCCTTGGAGTTGCAAAACAAGCTGCTTGTAGCACCTTCTTTTGCAACGGAGTCAGCAGGCTTATAGCCTTCCAGGCCAGTATGGCCAGGAAGCCATACCAGAGATAATCTGTTAAGTCTTTCTATCGAATAAACGAATAAACACCATACATGAATAGTTTACTTCACCTATTCCTTATGAGATATCAATAATTTGATTCAATGTCAGTCTAACAAATAGTCTTGATATTTAGTTCTGAACTTGGTAAAATTGAATTTTTTGAGAGGGTTGGGGACAGAATTATACTTTCAAAAATTTGATACCTGAAAGACCGCTTTCATTTTGAATTTTGGCATTGCAATCATATTTTTATATCCAACATTAAGGTTATGGATGTCCGTACGATATGTGATTTTCCTATGAAGAAATGAAGATTTTTTGTTACAATTATTTTATGGAAAAAAGAGACAGGGTTAAGTAACCTTCTTTTCTCCATATTCAGCCATCCAATTTTTTGAAGCTTATACGAAATCCTGTGTCTATGATGTCACAAGCATTGTCTGTCATTTTCTCCGGTAAGCTGTGGTATACTTGAGTATCATCAGCATATAAATGCACCTGACAAGTGTGAAGAGCCTGTAGTGAGTTGGATGTATATATAGAGAACAATAAAGGGTCAAGTATGGATCCTTGAGGTACCCCTGATTTGATATATAAGATATCTGAGTTGTATTTCTCTATACTAATAAGTTGCTGTCTATTTTTCGAATGATACGTCAATAATGGAAGAGTGTTAGCAGAAAAACCATTATAATCCAAAATGCTTAACAAAAGATTGTGATTATTAGTATCACAACACTTTGTTTTATTTCAATTTGAAGGTAGGAAGCGCTTAATGAAAGACACTCACTCACAAGCAAAATATGATTATCGTAATGAATGCTCAAAAAAACAAATTGATACAGTTTATTTTATGATTTTCACTATGAAGGGTTTTACAAAAACCGCGACACGTGTTTCGGTATACAATAGCTTCCTCAAGCAAAAACAATAGTTTTCTCAAGCATCGTTTATGCTTGAAAAAGTTATTGTATAGCGAAACAAGTGTCGCGGTTTTCGTAAAACCCTTTATAGTGAAAATCATACAATAAACTGTTTTTTAATATGGATTTTCATCAAGTATCGGCCAGTTTTTCTCAATTGAATACTGAATTTATTTACGATTAATACATTTTTATTGTAGTCGACAAAATCATGCAGCTTAGTCCAACTGAACTGTGTAATAGTACTGGAGACCTCCAGCTATTTTCGCAAGTATTTCAATATCTTGTGAGATTTTTTGTCGAATAAGAAAAAACTGACAGGGTTTTTCAATTCTGGCAAGTAAACTAATATCCAGTCACTATATCAATGAACATTTTGATTGCTGCTATAGAAATTCATCATTAGTAATCTTCCTTAGAGTTATACTAACCTCTTAGTACTTTCGAAAATCTGGGGAAGAAGTGGAAACAAGTGCTTGTCTCATTTCTTTATTATCAACATACATAATACTATAATCATTTTTACATTCAGTAATAACCTACTACAAAGATCTTCGAAAAACAAATAATACAAATTTCAGTTATATAAAATATTCTCGAAATAAAATACATACATTAATACCTCAGTATCAACATAATCGTTATATAGAACAGTTATCGGATTATTTTTACATTAAAAGCCTAGAATAATATAACATATTTTGAATTTAGTCTTAATAATAATTTATTTATTGTAACATCACATATATCTGAAGATATCATCTACATTTCCTAATAGTATAGACAAAGATTTCCGTTTTTATTCGATAACGAGAAGTATGTATACGAATAAAAGTATACTTTTAGAAAAAAAATTGAATAAACTGAAATATTAAAGGGGTGGATATACGGTTTTTTCAATTATTGAATAAAGAACAGAAATTTGATTTGACAAGTGAAACTCAATGACTCAATCATTGAAAGAGTTATACCATTTGGAAAATTAAAAATGATTATTATTCAACATGATGGACACATGGTGGGAAATTTTTCATTACTATATATACTCTTCTCCCTAATTACGCCAAACTCGTTGGCGACAGTATAATGAACTTGGAGAAAATTTTTATTCTGGCAAAGTGTCCTTGTATATGTTCAATTAATTATGTAGAATGGAGAGAATATCGAGAAAATAAATGTTAATTCAATACTGTTCTGTTGAAATCAATCAATAATGATTGAAAAAATATAAATTGTATCATATCATATCTTGATTTCGAAGTAATTTTCATTTTTGCACATCTCAATAACTTCTAGAATCCAGTATCTTGGCAGCAAGGAAAAAAAACTCATGAATTCATTTTTGCAAAGATAGTAATTTCGATAGGTGAATCAACAAACTAAGATTAAAATTTTCGTTTCAGGACCACTTATTTTCAATCAGATACACTAATAATATGACTCCGTTTCGGAATACAGATACAGGAGTAGTATTAGAAAAAGACGGAACAGTTTGTAGCTGAGAAGCATAATCTAACTAAAAACTATAGGTAAGTCTTCATTTCAATTTTGTCCATAAGTAAATGTAAAACATGATACAATGTGAATCTGTCCCAGAAAAAACACATTTACATGCTTCGTGTAATAATACCCAATAATATTTACAAATATGTCTAATTAATGTACAGAAAATTTTTTCCAACGAAGACATTGGAGGAGTAACTTTTAAATATAGCTAAATATACATTGATTTTATGAAAGTTGATCCAACACATGTGTGGAAAATATTTTTACATTATTGTTAACATTATCAATCTGAATCTTGGGCGTTATTGAAAATCAATGAAATATAAAAAGAGAAGGGGAGTTTATTTGATGAAGGGTTTAGACGAAACATGTTTTGGACCACTTTGAGTACATAATGAACTTTGAAGTTTTCATTCGGATGAAAAAACTGGTCAGGTGAGATTTCTTAAAAGTTTCACAAAAATTATTTTGAAAATAAAAATTCTTGAATTTTCAATTTTGATTTTTTCGACATAGATAACTAACTTATATTGCATCAACCTGATGAATTATGTATTATGACGTACTGCACTGATTTATCTGTTTATCTATATGCAGAGTTTACGATTTTTGAAAGAAATCATTGCAAACTGTTTGTTACCAGTTTGGTTTCTGAGAGAGGTAGGCTGAAAGAGATAAAAAGCAAACGTGAATTTAACATAAAGGAAGGTCGTCGAAAATACAGATTGACAAAAAAAAACTTTGGTTGTCGGATATAATCCAATGTCCAGCGAACATAATCTGTCAGATTAACACCCTTCGTGGCATAAGCCAGGGAAGCAGATTTTTCTAATGGGTGTCAGTTCATAAACTCACTATTTAGGTAAAGGAAGACTGGCCTGAATGATTTCAATCGTATCATCATCAAAATGGAATGAACTTGCTTCCTTAGATAGCTGAAATAAAAACCAGTGAATTCTTAGGAACAATGCATGCTGCACGATAAGAGGTACAACGAGCTAAACAAAGAGTTGGAAAACGACCCCATAATGGGAATGCCATCGGATGAGATGCTTCCCCAGTATAGCTTCGGAAAAAACTTCAAAACAATTATAACAGGCAGAGAGGCATGGAAGGGAGGACGTCCAATAAATGCAGAGATTGCCTGTTACACAGACGGCTCGAAAACTGAAGAAGGTGTAGGAGAGGAATCTATATAACTAAACCAAAGACAAAAGTCTCACTAAGCTTAGGTAAAAAAGTGATGATATTCCAGGCAGAAACAGCAGCAATACGTCACTACGCAGAAGAGTTACTAAGGCAAGAGTTTAAGGAAAAGACTATTGCAAAATACTCTGATAGCCAAGCAGCTATAAAAGCAATTAGCTCCATGTAGGTCAATTTCAAACTGGTAGGTTTGAAATTGACAATGGGGGAGCACGACGCTTCCCCATTGGCTCAAAACCCTTTTGTGGCACAGGAAAAGCGCTGCGAAAAACTTGTAACAGCAACTGTAAGGAAAAACAATCTCAAAAATGGTGAAATAAGGCGCCAAGTATGAGACAGGCCAAAGAGTTCATTGAAGTGCCATCGCCAAAATTCACGGAATACCTACTAAGTCTGAATAGGCGATCAACTAGAGTTCTGGTCGGGCTATTAACGGGACACTGTAGACTCAACAAACACATGAACAACATCGGACTTGCAGGCTTTGCCAAGAGGATGAGGAAACCTCCGTATATATACTTTGTTATGCGAAGGTCCGTCAAGGATAAGGTTTGCAACATTAGGGGAGGAGAAACCACAACCCTCTCAATATATGAGGAACTTGAGGTCTGGCCTATGGAGTCTAGTTACAAGGACGGGCCCAGACGAGGAACTCTAGCATACATGAGGGCACACACAATAGATCTGCAAAGGTCGCAGTGTAGTGGCTGTTCAGCACAGAAGCCCCACATCAATCTAATCTAATCTAGGAACAATGCAATTGCATACTGAAACTTGCTACAACAGGTTATATGAGCACTATCTTGCACTGACGAGTGGCTAAGGAGCCCAAAAAAAACCAGTCTGCAAGTGTGCTCGTTTCAAAATTGAAGGACGACTCTTTCAGTTATATTGCCGATTGCATATGCAGGAAATTTTCTGTGAAGATTCCTGCACTGACGCCTGTCTGATATAATTCAACGTAGTTCGTGGTATTAGCTAGCAGAGTAGTTGTTGTCTGATGGGCGTCAGTCCATACAACCTACTGTGTAGATATATCCGAGGCTGGCTTGAACATTTAAAGTTCATTTCTTTGTATTTGTTTACTGCCTGTCTTCAAACATAGCCCACTACCTAATAAGAGAATTGTTCTTTAGATAATTTGATCATCCTTTAACTTTGGCTCATATAACCTGTTGTAGCAAGTTTCAGTATGCAATTTCATTGATTCTAAGAATTCACAGGTTTTTATATCAGATCTCTGAGGAAGCAAGTTAATTTGATTTTGATAATGATACGATTAAAATCAATAGGTTTCCAGAAATCCAAAAGTTCATCTATGAGAGCAAAATCAATTTTCATTGGAAACCATGTTCTTCCGTATCGAAAAAGAAAATTCTCACTTCCTGTGAACACAGTTACAAATAATGATGGTATCTAGGAGCATAAAAACATGTAGAATCAGTTAAGGATAGGATATCTATGAAGGAAATATAATAAGCATAACAAATATCATGATACAATAACGATTGGAAAAACAAGCAATACTTTCGTGATTTCAAAAAAATATTCAATTTCAATTTGAATTATCCTGCCTGATATTTTCAGTACCTAATGTTGTTAATTAGTGACTGCTATATATATTTTCGATGGAAGAATTCATTAAAACAGGCTTTTTCTCTCTCTATATTTTTACTCTGTCAACAAACAGTTTTGATATCGATCCAAGCTCTGGTAGGTTATGACATCCATGTGATTTTTTTAAGTGAAAAAACTTCGATACAAGTAGGAAATAAATCTCACTGATATATCATGTACCAATAAAGTGTCTTACATCAAGCACATCAAGTTGAGGAAAACTGGGACGCTAACAAAATAGTCGATTTGAAGAGAAATCTCACCTGAATTTTCAATCAACACATCTGAGTATTTACAGTTCTGCATGATTAAAACTACTGGGTTGGTAGAAAAAATCAGTGCTGTTTCTACCATCCCTCTTTGGGAAAACATGGTCGTAATATTTCTCGTGCTCGAATTGCAAAGGCTTTGGCCTGGGTCTGTCTTTTTTGTGTAATTTTTTATTTACAGATCGCTTGATGTATTTGTTATCCATAGGTAGTGAATTTCTGTGAGAACCCATCGCGAGTGTGGAAGCATACGACCAGTTGTCTTTTGATTTTGGAGTTGTGTACCGACTAAAACTATGGTATTTGTCTTGACGATAACTGTCTGTGTCATTGTCTGATTCGAAGAAATCGGCCGACAAGACACGGTTCTTTGGCCTGTCTCTTTGTGTGTCGAGACCACAGTAGAGGTTCTCTGCCTTTGGTTTCGACTCTCCTACGCTACTTCTACCATTGTATGTAAGTGTGGTGGGTTGTTGATGCTATATGTACAGGAGTATGTTAGAAATGTGTTAGTATTTCCTGGGCGGTGATGATCAGAAATTGTTTGCTGGGCTGGAAATATTCATTTCTGTTCGACCAAATTTTCGGGATCATTTTTTTGCAGTATCAGACTATATGTTTTACAGTTGTTTGGGTGTTTGCTAAATAGTTATATGTTCAACTAGGCAGAGCAGTGTGTACGCACGAAAAATCGAAATGGAATTGAAATTTTTCATAAAATAGATACCTACAACTCATCATTTTTAGATCTATTCTTGTCATATATTATACTTCTTGGATGTTAATCATTATTATTGGATTAAACTGTATTTTATAAAAGATGATAATTCAATATTAAATATGGATAACAATTGCCTGCACAATGAAATGTATACAGTGTGTAACAACGAAAACTCAACAGAGCCCTTTTTGACTATAAAAAGTAGGATTTTTAAAAAAATATCGTACACGTCGATTTCTAATTAAAGGGTGACCCCTTTCAGACTAATCAGATTTTTTGTAGTACGCACCCCCTCGGAGGAGTGCGTCCGACGACCCTTATTTAGATAGGGAAAGTAGGTCGAGTGGCACCTTGTTTTAAAGGTCTTTCAAATACCTTCATAACTCTGTTGAAAGAAAATTTTTGTAACGATTAGTTTTCGAGATGATTTAAAGTTGAAATTGCCATGTTATTAATACATTAGACAGACCACTCGCTAACTTGTATGCCTGAATAAAAAAAAAAATTCGAGCAGTTCTCATCAGTTTTTTGTTAAATAAAATCCCTTTTTTTAAATCAATACCCACTCCTCTTCTTCCAGTTTTCATTAGTACATCGTTCGATTGTTTTCAGTGTCTCACTGCATTTTTTTTTCAGTCGCGAATTCTCATTGCAAGAGGCCTTGGATATGGCCTATTAGAGNAAAAGCATTGAAGTACCCCTCCGAGGGGGTGCGTACTACAAAAAATCTGATTAGTTCAAAAGGTGCCCATCTTTGACTACAAATCGACGTGCCGAGTTTTTTTTTAAATCTTACTTTTCATATTAAAAAACGTCTCTGTTAAGTTTTCGTTGTTACACACTGTATATGACGTTTACGTGATTTTTGATTCCACAGCGCTGCCCAAATCAAATTCCCGTTATTGGTCAGGAATACGTTCAGGCATTGAAAAAATCCTATTAATGTCATTGAAATTACGTTTGATGCCAATCGGAGAGAAACTTTCTCCTGACCTATAGACAAGGTCATTTTACTGAACATCCAGTTGAAAAAATCACATTTGAAAAAATCCTGTTCATCATATGCGTATCAAACTCTTCTGGTAGATGCTCAAACCAGTGTAATGATGTTGAGATGCATCATATCAATGTTGAAAGAGTTCTATTCTTGCGGCAGAATATTAATGAAACAAAATATCTTTGAGGTTTCCTGGATACAAGCAGCCATACCTTTTGGATCTAACATTATCTAATAGAAAAAACCTGATATGCACAAGCAATTATATATTAATAAATTACTTATATCGCTAGCTATAACCTAGCTATTTTAGGATCATGTCAAAAGTTTCAGTTTTATGCGAATTCGACTGTTTACTTCTTTAATTTCATGAGTGAACGATATCAATGGAAAATTCAAGAAATTATTCCGTTTTTCACTTGAACATTACATTCATATGTATTCAAAGATAAGCATTGCATACGTGCGTATTCTTCTATAATATCTTCTATATCTCAATTTCATTACCAGGGAGCTCAACTTCAGATTATTCACCAAAACGATATATCAAAAACCAATATGTTTTTTTTCTTTGCAATTCAATCAGTCCAGTATCTGGACAACTTGAGCATTCTTGAAAAAATTGAGTTCAACTCGATATTGCTAAATCAGTTGATAAGGTACCAGGTGAATTTTCCAGTTGGAAAACTGAATGAGCGGTTCTTTGAGAACCGAAGAATCATCGTACCTTAGTCAGCAGTTGTAGGCTTGTACTGCTTCTCTCTTGGAGACTATCTTTCCTACGATACCAATTTCGAATTCACACTCCAAAGCCTTGATAATTTTCCTGCAAACATTGTGGCTGTATTAAAAAAAATGCAGATGCAATATGAGGATAACGAGAAGTTTGCAGAGCTTTATTTGCTCTCACACTTCAACCTCCTCTTTAGTTTTCGACTAAGTCAGCCCCTCTAAACTGTTTTTGGAGACGAGTACCTTGAACACTTCCCTCACAGTCTTCAGCTACTCAATGTTGAGTGGCAGGATGAGAAAAGACTGGATATTCTTAGTGATGTGGTATCCGATACGATGAATGCTCGACTTTAGTTGCCCCTCAAAGATGTTGCTTATTGGTGTACTGTTGAAATCGATTCCTCCGGTTGAATTTTCTAAATTATTCGATCCCATTACGTTTCATTCATTACGTCAACGGGAAGATTTTTATCTTCAATGTAATATTCAACTAACTTCCTTAGCTCAAACATCTCATCATTGAGTCTTTTCAAAAGAAAACCTGGAAACTCTACGCATTTTTTTCTCTGCCCTTGATCCAGTCGATCTGCATGTTATGTAGATCCACGTCTGACCGAAAGGAAAGCCAGTGTTGATTATAACTGCTTGGTCATTCTTGACAATTTTATCCACTCTCCTGTCTTTCGTCTTGATGTAGGAAGGTGAGTAATCAAATTGCTCTACAAAACAGCAGGTAGATTTTATTTTCCCGTTCGACGAGATGTTTTTGCTCAAGCTGTTCAGCAAGTTTTAAAGTGGTGGACATGCGATCAGGCCTTGCAAAATCCAGTGGATGTAGCAGTAATTGTTTCGGTTGAGCGAACCCTTTGGTTGCAAACTCACTGCCCTACTGTCGATCGTGTATGTGGATAGAAACTTGTCCATCCTGGATCTACAAATTGATCGGACCTTCTGGAGTGCTTCAAAGGGCGCATGAGTAGATTATTGTGGAACTCGTTTTGGGTGTCGTGTTCAAAATCGAATTCATCCAAACTGTTGACGGGTTCAGACGAAACATGGGTTTCGTCGGAGTTGACAAGACTTGCCCACGATTTTGCGACAGTGTTAGGGTTCGCTATTCCGTCTCCGTTGGGGAAGAGTTCTTTTAGGGACTGTAAGAGTCCAGCTGAAGGACTCAGTTCAGCCTCATTTTGAATAGCCACCTCCAGTTACGTCATAGCTTGTCAATTCTTATGCAAGTCTTTCACGACATTGCTCATCTCTGGTTTCTTCACTGTCTGCTTATACTTGTATCTACTGTTGTGAGGAAAACCATGAAATATAGGATTCTGTTGCGGAAAAGATATCTACACAAGCTGAAAATTATGTTTAATGCTCATACAATTGGAAAACTTAAGAAAATCAACGAAATAGATTCATTAAGCTCCCGAATATCCCTGTATATGAAGATGATAACCGAAATCTTTTTTTTCTAGATCTCCAAATGGTCGAACAGAAATAATCATTGAAAAACTGACACTGACGAATGTAAACAATTTGAAAACATTTTTTGAACTCTTGACTTTTTTCACCGCCCCGGCTATGATATACAGGATGGGTTGAAAATAACTGGAAATACATTTTGATCTTTTTTGGTTGTGTGTTGACAATGATACGTAGAAGTAGTAATCAACTAATTAGTGATGATGAGGTGAAATAAGTGTGAATGCGATGTGATTTGCTGACTGCTGATTCCATACAATGGCGACGACTTCAGAGGATTAAAATCAAGTGAGGTGGTTTGAGAAAGTGCTGAGGACGGGAGTCTGCGGTGTGGAAAATCGGTGTCAGTGTAAATACAGTGTATGTACAGAATCATAATATTTTTATGATCCAGGAAAACTGTCAATGAACATTCCAGCTTGGGAAAATAATGTGAAATAGTGTTTTTACTGGTCTCCGTTAGTTATTTTCCGGGGGTGTCAAATCAGGTGATTTTGGTGGCTATTCTCCCAACATGGAAGTACTGAGAATACTAATCATGATAAACAAGTGACATTTTCAACAAAATACATTTTGTCTGGGTTTTGCTATTCAAAGTAACAGTTTTCTCGGATTATTCATTTGCTTTTCCTGCCCATTCGTCAAGTTGGAGAGAAAACATTAACACAATTAGCTAAATACAGAGTGTCCAATCCAAACATTCCTTGTTTTGTAAGATATTCGTACAAAAAGAAAAGCATTGAAATATGTTGATGAAATTGATACTGGCGATGACTACCTAAATTTCGGTGTGAGCTTCATCAATTCCAATTATCGCTTGACTTGTCCAAAGACTAGTGTATGTTAGGCACTGAATTTTAATTAATTTCTTTTTCAACACATGAGCATGATTTATCTTTCGTAAAATAATTTCAAATATTCAGTAAACATTTGATGGCGAATCTGTTAGAGCCAGAATCGATCAATCTTGAGTATCTGTATCGATATTTTCTATATAAGAAACTACTTGAAAACTGATTATCTCTCTAGGACTATATCTCCACTATAGCACCTAGATTTTTTCACAAGTCAGAAATAATATCTATCAAAGACTGAATAAGGTTGTGGATCACTTGATTTAATTGCTCAGTTTTATTATCATGTTTAAAATAGTCAGTATATGTAATAATATATTCTGAACACCAAAACACATTAGACTTTTTGTAAGTTTTTCTAAATATTTGAATTTTAATTGTTTATTGCAAGATTCATCAAAAGTTCAAAGATGTTTGTGCTGAAGTTCATACTACGCAAATAATTTTTCCAATGTATATACTATACTATATATAATAATATACAATGATATTTTCTTCTTGAATTGGATGTGTATGGTTTGCAACTCGAAACTACGAGTAATATTTGAATTGAAGGGGTTATATTTTTTGGAGTGATTAATTTTTGAAAAGAAAGTTTTTGACTTTCTACTACTCCATCTTGATATAAAAAAAAAGAATAATGAGGAAATCTTTCTTCCTTTGGAAGATTCCCTCACCTTTTTTTTCATCAAG